CACACACACTCTTTCTCTCTCTCTCTCTCTCTCTCACACACACACACACACACACACACACACACACACACACACACACACACACACACACACACACACACACACACACACACACACACACACACACACACACACACACACAGTGGATTACAATGGCAGAAGGGTTCTCAGTTCTGAGGGTCCTTGGTAATGCCAACCCCCCAATTATGAGGATCAGAATCAGGTTTATCTCCAGGTAGGTCGTGGTACATACATAAAAAGTAAAAGTAAAAACACAGATAGAAAACTATTGTGTATATTAATGTAACGCTTAGAGTCTATGATGATGATGATGATGGTGATCTCACCTGAACCCGTCTGAGATCGGACCACAGCGTCATGACCCGACAGGAGAACCGGCATCGTCTGCTTCTGAACGCTGAACACACACAGACATCATATTTCCACACAAAGTCAAATACGTTAAAGTTTCAGGGGAGATAAAGGTGGACTGTCCCTTTAAATGATGGAGACAGGTGTGTGTGTGTGTGTGTGTGTGCGTACCTGGTAACCGTGGAAACATTGAGGACTTTGTTGAGTGTGGCCACCTGATGGACAGGAAGCAGCCAATCAGAGCGCAGAACAATAACAGTTAATATATTACAGATCGTGAGTGTGTGTGTGTGTGTGTGTGTGTGTGTGTGTGTGTGTGTGTGTGTGTGTGTGTGTGTGTGTGTGTGTGTGTGTGTGTGTGTGTGTGTGTGTGTTACCAGGTGTGGGTGCAGGTCCATGTCTGAAAACGAGTCGCTGGTGAAAATCTTCTCCTTCACCTGAGAGACAACCGGACTGAGAGGATGAGAGGAGGAGGAGGAGAGGAATTAATAAAAGAAGGGAGGGAGGAGGAAGGAAAGAAGGAAAGAGTGGGGGAGGAGGGCTAAAGGGAGGAAATGATATGATGATGAGCATTGTGACGGACCAATCAGAGCGCAGTACCTGAGGAGGGCGGGGATGTCGGGGTTGTGTTTGAACAGAGAGGAAGTCTTCACGCCGCCGTCCTTCTTCTTCTGTGGTGCCCTCCGGTCTGCTCGCTCAGCAGGGGGGGGGGGCTGCCTCACCGCGCCACCGCCGTCCTTCTTCTTCTGTGGTGCCTTCCGGTCCGCTCGCTCAGCAGGGGGCGGGGGCTGCCACACCACATACATCTCATCATTATCCATATAAAAACAGGATAGATCAATACATGTGATCTGTAAGCAGCTGTTATCAGTGAGAGGGTTTACCTGCTCCTGCTGCTCCTCCCCCTCCTCCTCCTCCACTCTGCTCTGTTTGACTCTCCTCTCCTCCGGCTGTGAGGAGGAGTTCATCTTCCTCTTCCCTGCATTCTGCTTCTTCTGCAGGAACACAAACAGATCACAGATCAGAGACGCAGTGTGAGCGCCACCACGTCAACGCGCTGCTGACCCTCTTCCATCACATCGTTGTTCAGGCTCTTTGGTAAACACTGGTATTTTGAAGAGGCCCCTTCCTCTCCTGTAGTGTCTTCTATAGTTCCCCCCCCCCTGCCTGAAGCTCCTTTGTTTACTTCTGGAACACGGTGACATCACTATGCAACACTCGGGCTCCTATTGGCCAGCGCTCAAACACATTGTGCGTGTTAGGCTAAGGGGCGGGACATCTCTGAGAGGCTGACCAATCACAAAACACTTTGAGAGGGTACATAATAATAACTATAATGTAGGAATACAGATCTGAATGAGAGCATCTGTACTCACTCTGGCCCATCTCTGCTGAGTGGTGAGAGGCTTCCTCCTGAGGGAAGGAGACGAGGACACACTGATGTTCAGACACAGCTGATCCTCCGACATCTTCAGCTGCAGACACACACACACACAAATCATTTCTCACACCAAACTTTGATCACAGCACTGTACAGGTGTGCGTGAGCAGCAGGTGAACAGCGGTTCCTCTCCCACAGACTACAGGTGTGATAGTAACAGAGCATGGTGATGAGTCCAGATGTGACCCTCCTCTGGCTGGATGGAGCATGCAGTCTCAATGACCTGTGTTTAACATTAGGAGGCACTCTTCACAGAGAAAACACATCTTCAAACTGACCAAAACAACACGTCTGATTCAGTTTTCTGTTCAGGATTCAAACATGTATTTTATTGACTGTGTTTCACTTCAGGGGTTGACATCTCTGAACCCGGGGTCTGCTACAGCTAGCCACTAGCATCGTTAGCTCTGACTTTAAACCCAGTAAAGATCAGGTGATCCTCTGCGTGCTAACTGTAGCTGTTAGCATTTTTAGCTCCGAGTTGAAACAGAGTAGCTGTTAGCAGTCACGAAGGATATCTGCAAACACAGAAAATAATGGAAATAAAACCTGTGAAACTCACCGTGAGGCTCAACAACACAGCGACACACGTGGAAATCTCTTCCGGGTGCGTCACGGAAGCCCCGCCTCCTTCACAGCTGGTTGTGTTGGGCATGCGCAGTAGCGTCACGTTTTTTTCAAAGGGTT